ATCACTCACAAAAGTGAAGTGCTGCCAAGAGGCTAGAGGCACTTTCTGGCCCTGCTCTTTTCATCCCAGCCATGCCAGAATGCAGGCAACAGGGCTCTTCTGGGAAAACACAGTGAAGGTAACACAGCATTGTTTGAAGCATTTTAGGGCTTACACACGGGCCTTTATTTGACCTAAGTAATAAGTTTAGCCTCAGTCTTTCCCCAGATATTATATTAGTCAGCTCCCCATTGCCTGTGTGAGCTTTTCTGTGCTGAAAATATGAAAGGAAAAATATATTTTAGTAGCAAGAAAATGTGATTATAAACCAGCTCAAATTGGCAGGGAACTTTAGGAGGGAAAGTAACTGAACAAATTTCAAGTTGTCTTTGTTTCCTTCAAGTATAATTTTGGTTTACATTAAATACTTGCAGGTAGATAATATTTTAAAATAAAGTATCATTAAGATTACTATTTGAGCGTACACAGTGGGTGTCAAGTGCACAGCTATAAACATAAACTAAAATCCCACTAATCTTTGTGCTATATCACATTGTGTTATACTAGGGTAGTTTTTCAGTGTTAGCTGGTTGATAACATTGATGCTTTGGGCATCTTCAAAGCACTCAAAAAAAAAAATCTTGGAAAGTATTTTTTTAATAGTAACTAGCACTGTAAATAGAGTTCTAATCTGTAAGCATTTGCACATACTGGTATACCAGCTAGAAAACTGTAAAGTAGTCTGTACTTTAAAAGTATATAGTAGTTAACGTGGTCTAACCAAATGAAATCTAAATCTTCTCAGCTTTGATATCTAAGACTGTAGAGGGAAAGAAGTTCCCCATGAATGACATTTTCCAGAGTCTTGATCATTACCATTAGCAAATCCTGCAAAAAACATCATCTGCAGGAGGCTTAAAACTGAAACAAAACCGACGTGAATCGAAACCTTTTCCATGTCTCAATTCATAAGCTCAGACACATAAAAGGAATAAGCATGAGATGTTTGCAAAATCATGATTGCAAAAGCAAAAATATGCTTTTGCATACAAGTTTCATTATAGGTATTCCTTCACATTTGACTAATCTACAAATAATACTGTCTAACAAAGTGGTTGCTCCATCTTTATTACTGGAATTCTTAATTTGTTTACTGTCTATCACTGAATAACTCTCGGATCCAGAATCAGGACCTTACTCTAGGTACTGCCAAACTGTGTACTGAAAGAGGATAGTTCTTCTCCTAGAGAACTTAAAATCTATTAAATCTTGCTTTAGTATTGTTTGGCAGAGGAAAAGAACAAGGTATTACTCATAAAAAAAAAAAAACAAACCCAAACAAACACCTAATTATTTTAAAAAAATAATTAAAAAAGAAAACATCACTCTGCTATCTGGAAATTTTTAAAACTATTATTGGTTTGTACATATGTATAAAAGTACAGCTGTAAATAAAGTTAGAAGTCACAATCACCAAGTTGGTAGCCTCCTAAAAACTACATTTTTCAAGAAATATTACTCACAATTTGGCTTAGCAGAAACTGATATGGATTAGGATCTTTGGAAATCAGACAGCAACATCTAATTATGCTTTAGGATCCTATCTTTATGATCCAGATTTGTAAACTATTTCCTAAAATTAATTTAGATCTGTTCAAGAAAGTATGATGCAGGAAAACACAACAATACAACCACAGTCCACTGATGCTAAGCAATATTAAATAGTATAGAAAATCAGAAATAGTTCTCCAAAAATGCAAGATATTTTAGTCAATTTTCTAAATGTAAGGTGCCTCTCTGTGTTTTCTCACCTTTCAAAACTTCAAAGGGCTTCTAAAAGACTACGATGATAAAATTCTTATGCTTTTAAAAACTGGCTTTGTCTTGCTAGTACCTAATTTCAGAAGCTAGAAATTTAAGAAAACACCAAGTGTAAGATTCATAACAACATAATGACAATTGACAATACATCTAAATACTGTGTCCTTCTGAAATCACATTTATTTACAAATTATGCCTATGGGTGCATCGTGGATGTATCGATCAGTTACTTCATGCGCAATGCCTGCAGGCACTTGGAAATCTGCTTATCAGAAGGATGGCTGGGAAATGAGACATCATCTGGATATTACAGTCATACTGGTGTAACTTGGGCAGCCAAGCACAGCTAGCTTCCTACAGAATAGACCTGTGGCACATTTTCTAAGTCCTCTAGGTAACACTTAATCCCATATGATGCAAGGGCTCATCTAGAGATCGCACATAGCACCCCGTGACTACTGCTTCAAGCAATTTTAAGCAGGGAGAAGAAGGATCTTCTTATGTATCTACGACATTCCACTTTCAGTCATCCGAAGCTGTCAGCTGGCACCTCATAGACTACTGCTAACTGAGCATGAGGGGCAACCAGACAAAATAAATACCACTGGACTGGGATGTGCTAATGCGAGTCCTATGCAAGCATTATGATGGTAAAGGGATTCCAAACAGATGCAACCAACAGTTCAGACTGCCAACTCACTGCATAGAGAGGGACCAAAGGTCAGACTTACTCCCTGGCCTAATTCAAGTATTCAGGATACTAATATTGGTTCCACCCTGGATTTTTTTCCTTTACTATGGCAGCCTTTCCACAATGTGCAAAAGCTCTTACCTGGTGCAGGGCTCAATTCTTACGGACCCCTTACATCTCACGTGTTCCCATAAATAAGGAAAACTAGCACTGGTGAAAATGCTGTTATATGCAAAATAAAGAGAAAATAAAGGATGCGGGGGGGTGGGGGGGGAGGGGGAAACGACACACAACCACCACCAATCAATCAATCTTCTGGGTTGGTTTGTAGAGAAACCCAGAGAAAAGAAGAGATAAACACAGTGAGAAACCATGTTCTGTACCAACGACATTTCCTTTCCTGCTTTTCTCTTCTGATTTTACAGGACCTACATTTCAGATAGAGAACAGCGTACTCTTGGATACTCATTGCTGTACTAAAGTCTGTCCTCAGCCTTGAGCAAAGTTTTTCTACTTCAGTTTCTCCGTAACCTAAAATAGTATAATTTACTGGTATGCTTCACTGAGATGTCACAGTTTGCAGTTATATGACAATAGGAGTTGTATAAATGCTGCATATGTTGTAGTAATCCAAAGTAAAATGATTCTTTAGAATAACCTGATATACACCTGAAATTAAAATCCTTCTGCACTAAATTTTCTCAAACTATTATATGGGTTTGCTCTTTTATATTCAAAACTGTTCACTTCATAGTTAGTGGCATGGACTTACTTTTTAAAAGTTTCTTAACAAACAAAACAGAACAAACACTGAAAGGTGACACAAATTTCTATACAAATTCCTATACAAGACTTCCCCAAAAAGAATGACAAAGCTTACTAATTCAAACAAATACAAACAGAACATAGTATCAAATGTAGCATGTCTGTGTCTACTTACACACAAAGCAATTGTCAAATTTTATTTTAAAACTGTTCTTCAGTAAAAATTTGTATATATTAGGCAAAACATAAAGACACATTGATTTGCAGTTAGTTTTATCTTATCTTAAAAACAGTTTGCCCTTATTGTTCATAAATTACGTATGCATATCTGATCTATTATAGGGATGTAATAAATAAATACTCAAAGAAAGCTGAGTATCTTATGAAAGTGTGGCAATACAGACATCACAAGTCAGGAAACTGACAGGTGTTAAAACTAGTTACCAACAGGTTCTCCAAAACTCTTGACTTTGTGGATACATAGACAATACATACTGAGTAACAAAATCTTTCAAATGGCAATAAAAACTGAAAATGAAGTTCTGAGAATAGTGAAATGCCAGGCAGATAACTTTAAAAAAGAAATTAAAATCATGCTATGAGTCTCTAAAGCCAAGAAAAGCACATGACATTGTGGGCCTAATACTTCACACCTGATATGCAGCAGAGTTGAAGAGAAACTTAAAAACAGCCAATAACAAACAGCAGATACTTGGTAAGGGCAGCCAGAGCAAGACAGTATAATTTTAGGAAGGCATAAGCTGAGTCAAAACAACTATTTTCTGAATTAAAAAAAAATTACTAATTGCAACCAAAATCATTAGAAGGCGGTAAAATATCTATCAGCTGCTTTTGAAGACATAAGAGATGGAAGACTCTTCAAATTAAAGCTTCTTTCCTATTTCTAATTGTATATGTAGCTGGCCAAATATTCAGACGATGACAAATATAAAAATAAATTCTGAAACAAGACAGCAAAGTTATTAATTAGTCTGTAAAAATTAACTCCAGAAATCTAAGTACATATTCTTTGCAAACTAAAATTAAGGAAGAAAGTGCATTTATGAATAGGGAACATGGAAACTCGATTTCAAATTGCAAAACGAATGCACATACAGACCACAGCAGATCCCAGCACACAGTTCCCAGATAATGTGCATCCTCAGTTTCCAGGATGGGAAGGAAGTGTGCACTCTGTCTCAGAAACACACCTCGAGAGGTAGGTGTCTGTTGTGATGGCACCTCGGTTCCGAGCACGTTCTTTCATAACAAATAGCGTTATGAGAGCTGTCAGCATTACTGTTTACAAACAGAATCCAGCATACAGCTCCCTCGGGATCAAGAACTACCTTTGTCACCTTTTCATGCTACTTCATACACCATCTCCAGGAAAGATCCCTAGTTCTGTACGGGATGCTGTGAAAAGAAAGAGCAACTGAAGGGATTATCGCCAGAAGCTCTAAACAATCTCTTTTTGCTTTTAAGAAGATTCACAGAGAAGCAGTGTAGCTTTCCAAGATCTGCATCACTTTCGCAACTTGCCCTGAAATTTCAGGAAACGGTGTACAAAACCACAACAGAAGCCGCTCCCGCACCCAAACCCGCGTACGGAGACCGCTCGCCTGCGGCAAGTTTCTCCAGCCCCCTGGACCCTCCGGCCGCCCTGGCCGCGGCGACCCCCGGCCCTGCGGCCGCCCGCGCCAAGGGAGAGCGGGGCGGCGGTGCCGAGCCCACGGGCTCCTACCTTGTTCGAGGCCATTTCGCTGACGGAGTGCCTGGTCTGCAGGGTCTCCAGCTGGTCCAGGCACCAGTCCAGCTCCTCCATGGTCTCGCTAGCCAGTTTTTGATAGGCCTCCTCTGCGAAGAGAGAGGGAAAGGCGCGCTCAGTTCGCAAGCGTTTCACAGGGCTACCGGCGAGCTCCAACACGCCCATCCTGCTGCGCTGCCCTGCCGTGCCAGGCACGGTGCTGCTCCCTCATAGGTGCCAGCGCGGGCAGCGGCCGCCGCAGCTCTGCCCTCCGCAGGGCAGCGCTTCTCTGCGGGCCACCGGGGCGGCGAGCAGCCAAAACTTCAGTCCGGCCGGGCTGCTGCTCGCTCGCCTCGGCTCTGCCGCCCGCCCGGAGCCCCGGCCAGCCGCGGACCCGCCCCCTCGCGGCCGGTATCGAGCTCGGCGGCACCGCGGCGGCGGCGATGGGACCCGCCGGTGCCCCTTCCATACACACAGCCCTACCCCGCCGTGAGCCGTGCCGAGCCACCCTCCCCGTCTGCTCTCACCCATCCACCGGGGCACCATCAGAAATTAACCAGCTGGTATTTACAGAAGAGCAGGGAGGAGGTAAGAGCACGTGTAGGCGCTCCGAACAATGATGAGCCGCCGAAGCACCAGCTGTTTAGAGGAGCGCTCAAATAACTGCAATTGTGTTTGCGCTGACCTGTATGTATTTGTGTGTGGGAGTGCTCAAATGACTGCAGTCTTGTTTGCTCTAACCTGAAGCCTCTCTAGGGGTGTGTGTGTTTGCATGCACAAAGTACCACATGTTGTCTGTAAGCAAAGAAAGGACTGATGGACAAGTCTTGGAACTGGACCCAGCAATACAGTATGGGAAATGGACCCCATAACATTATGGAAAACCATGGTTTAACCAAAATTATTGAATGTTCCAATGGAACTAATTGTCTTGTGGAAGTTTCTTACATACAGGAAGATGTTCCCTTCTTCAGTAACTCCCCAACAACAGGAGATCTGTTGGTATGCAAATAATGTCAGAAAAAGAACCCTATATGTAGGGTGCAAGCCTCACCTACAAAGCCTGGCTATTTTTTTTCAATGTAGATCTTAGGGGGAGAGTGCTTCTCCACACTGAAGTCGGAGCTGAGTGAGTTTTAGGCCAGGCATGCTGTCTGTCTTGCAAGCTGTGTACCTGAAACATCAAGTTTTGAAACAGCTGGCACACGTGTTTGAATAAGCTACATGCAAACATGACTCCAAGGTAGAGAAATGTTTATTTGGTGGGCTTGTTATTGCCATCTATAATGTCTCCCTTAACCTATTTCACATCAAATTTACCTTATTTTCAAAATGTCAGACAAATAAAAAAATCAGGCAAACAAGCTAACTAAAACTCTTTTTCAAATAAAACACCCCAGCATGGACTACTGCCTAATAGCTCATTAGTGCATTACTGTTTGACATCTTGGATACTAGATTCATATTTTTTTTACATTTTTGAGCACATGCTCAAAAACTTCAGGCTCCTTCATAGTTGTTAAACTCACATATATGTGGCTATTGTACAAACACTCCACAATTTCGAATAATGTCCATTTACCTCTGGAAAAAGTAATGCAAGAGAAATAGTTTGAATTGAGATTAACTGACAGAACCATTTAAAGAAAATTTTGCAGTGTAACCACCTCAGTAAACACATTAACCAACACTCAGCAAAAATCCCCATTAAATTGTACACACTGTCTTTCAGATGTATATTACTATAAATGCTATCTGATCTTAAGGAATTCTCAGGCAAATAAAGTCAGGATTTTCCAGCCTGTTTATCTGTCAAAAGAGAATTCATGATGTTCTGCAACAGACATCACAGCTTGCTACTTCTTGAACACGACTGTTTTACTGATCTCACAGTGTAGATTTCAGCAAGATTGCTACTGAAAATAGAAATAGCTTTGTTTATAACATGTTTGTAAGTGTACTGGATTAAATGCTTTTGAGGAAGCAGAGATTTTGTTAACATATGCAAAGTTATCTGATGACCTCATACAACGATTGCCTTGAGGATTCAATGGACAGTGAAGTGAGGTAAAATGAATTTGTATGATGATACTTTGCTTGCTAGCCTGTGGTCTGCCCATCAGCGGTTCTTGAAAATCAAATACTAGGAACCATGTTTTTCTTAACAAGATTTTCCCTTCTAATGCTTCAGAGGGTATGCAGGTAACGTTTTTCCAAGAAGCATGAGAACAACAAAATAAACCGAAGGGATGAAATATTTAGGCAAAAGTAATAAAACGCTCAGTTTGTTATGCAATAATATATATCACCAACAGCACCTTACATTCAGGATTCTTTATCTACAACTCACCTTCCCAGTATATCTCAAAGCACATTAGAAAGCAGAATCCATCACTGACAAGGAAGTCCCATCACCCCATCTCATGACCTCTCATTTCAGGCTGCCACACTTCAAGAGTTTGTGACTGGTGTTGGGACCTGACTGACCACTCAGAGTAAGTAAAATTCTGATGGACAATGCTAGGCTAAAGACTTGCTGAACTCAGCACCTTCGGACAGTTCTCAGATCTCAGAGCTGTCAAGCCAGTCCTGATATCTTAAATGGAAATAAAAGATTTCCTAAATGATCACAAAGTACTTTCTAAACAAGCACACCTGCAGTTCTGAAGGGCAGAACAACCACAGGAAATCTTTTTTCTGAATGCTACTAAAGCTCTAAATTTGGCCCATGCTATTGTTGATATACAATGTGGTGGAAAATGTAGTGGTTAACAGCTTTTCAAGTATAACACCTCAGTACCACTAAGCTAAGAATAAAAGAATAATTATCAGCTGTGCAGCTTTGAGAGCCTCACAACACTGTTTCTGACTTCTGTGTTACCTCTAAGATATCACCCTGAAATTATTCCCATCCAGGACTGATCTACAGGTTTTTTGGAATAGACACATAAGTTTCCCCACACAGACCATGAAGTCCTAAAACAGATTAACTTATGTGGATGAGAGGCATCTTGAAATTTCAAAAGTTATTTTTATGTCTCATTAGGCTTTAATATGAGGGAGAGAAGTACAGTTGAACACCAACTGCATTAAGAATTTGCATGTTATTTTGTATATGCTTTTAGAAAAAAGGAAGTGACAGCAAGTGTTCTCTTTTCAATTCACAGATTACAAGCAATTCCACTATGTGTAGCTTTTAGTATGCTACACTGAAAAAAAAAGAAACCTAACCTAATGAAAGGCTAGCAGAAAGAAAAAACTCAGCAATAATCATTTAGCACTGCACAGTTAATTTTTTTTCAGGGTGTTCTACTGTATGGTTTTATAAATACTTGATTCTTAGCACAGCTCTAACACACCACCAGAGATAGCTGCACTTGTATTCACATCATCATTCGGGAACAATTTCTGTTCAAAATTTTCAAAGGGAAAAAATTACTATATGGCAACACTTAAGTAGACTGTCCACTTTACTTTATGGTTCTTCATAATTTTCATGAAAGTTGTTCTACTATACCTGAAGAACAAAAAGCAATACTAGACTTTCCTACTAGTGCTCAATTGTATTTGTACTAACCTTTCCAGTAATTTAATGAATTTTAGAACAGAGGAAGGAAAAGGGGAGTACAGATTCTTCATTGTCTGATCAGTTGAAGTCAGCTGAGTGATGCAAAGAGGCTGGAAAGAAGTTGGCTCAGCAAGCACACATCCAAGGGCTTTGACCACTGTGTTGCCTTAAGATAGGAGTGTGTTCAAGGCAAGAAAAGGACACTGCTGAGCAGAGTAGATCACACTATCTGGTGTGATCCAGATAGTCTTGGCATGTGTATTGTTTTTTGGACCTGCAGGCAGCTGGAAGCTCTGAAAACCTCCAGGCTATACTAAATGAGGATGAGCTGAAGATATAACCAGAAGAGGAAGGTCAAAGGTCTATACCCCCTGCTAAACAATGCTGGTTAATTGCTAACATCAGATGGAGAGAAAACTGACATACTCAACTTTTTTTTTTCACTAGTAACCTCTTTCCACACCTCTTGAGTAGATGGACAGCAGGATGGGGACTAGGAGAGAAAAGGCCCTTCCACTTTAAGAGAAGATCAGGTTTGTGACCTTAATCTGATGAGATGCATCCCAGAGTCCTGAGGGAATTGGCTGATGTAGCTGTCAAGCGACTCTCCAGGATATTTGAAAAGTCATGGCAGTCAGAAGAAGTCCCAGGTGACTGGAAAAGGGGAAACACTGTACCCATCTTTAAAAAGGGTAGAAGGGGGCACCCTGGGAACTACTGAGCTGTCAGCCTCACCACTGTGCCTGGGAAGATCATGGAATAGATCTTCCGAGAAGCTGTGCTAAGGCACATCGAGGATGCAGGGGTGACTCAGGACAGCCAGCATGGCTTCAGCAAGGAAAGTCCTGTCTGACCCATCCAATGGCCCTCTATGATGGAGCAACTACTGGACAAGGAAGGGTCTACAGATGGCATTTATCTGGACTTCTGTAAAGCCTTTGACTGATCCCCCACAACACCTTTCTCTCTAAATTGGATTTGATGGACTTGATGAGTGGACTTTTAGATGGATAAAAAAGCTGCATCTAGAGAATACTGGTCAATGGTTCAGTGTCCCAATGGACATCAGTGACAAGTGGTATCCCTCAGGGGTCAATATTGGGACCAGATGAAGGGATCAAGGGCACCCTCAGCAAATTTGCTGATGACCACAAGCTGAGTGGTGCAGTTAACATACCTGAAGGACCAAATTCCATCCAGAAGGACCTAGACAATCTGGAAAGTAGATCCATGTGAATCTCATGAGGTTTAATATGACTAACTGCAAGTTGCTGTCCCCTAGTGTCAATACATGCTGGGGGATGAACAGATCAAGAGCAGCCCTGATGAGAAGGACTTGGGAGTGCTGATGGATGAGAGGCTGGATGTGACCCAGCAGTGTGTGTTCACAGCCCAGAAAGCCACTTGTACTTTGGACTGCATCAAAAGGAGCATGAGCAGGAAGTCAAGGGAGGTTATTCTGCCTCTCTACTCTGCTCGGTGAGACCCACTTAGAGTGTTGCATCCAGCTCTGGGGTCCCCAGCACAGGAAGGACATGGAAC